CACAGGTATTGTACACAGGTAAGTTGGGGAACTAGGGATCGAACCCTGGGATCTGCATCAGCTACTTCGAACTGGTGAATACCGTTTCATTATTCAAACAATAAATAATAAATAATAATATTAATAATAATAATATTAATAATAATAATATTAATAATAATAATAATAATAATAATAATAATAATAATAATAAAAGAATGGCTGAACCAGAATCAATGTCCGAATCCCTCTTCTACTGCCAGCACAACAAGAGGTCCACCATAGCCATGGCCGCCCTCCTCTCTCTTCCTCATGCAGGCCGAGGCTATGGCGGATTATACTAAGGGCGTTGCCCTGGCGTGCAAAAGACAACGCAAAGCAGCTACGGCCTCTTCCTCTCGGGCCATCATGCCTGCCTCTGCCTCGAAGCTTCTTGATGCAGCTCTACCCCAACAAGGCCCTTCCAGATGCAGCGCTCAACAAGATGATGAAGATGGTGTCCACCATAGCCAGGTGAGTACCCCTGGCGCTCCCCTCTCCTAGTCCCCTTCTTCCTCCTCCTCCTCCTCCTACCCGAGCTCCTCCACAATGGCCAAGGTGGAGAGGTGGGCACTCCTCTTCCCCACAGTGCTGCTGCCCACCCGCACTCCAGCAGCATGATGCGACTACACGCAGCAAAATGAGGAGCTCTTTGTGCCTCCTGGAGATATAGCGGCCAACCTGCGTCTTGGGCGGTGCCGCGCGGCCTCCAAGCAACCGGAACCTCCTCTTTTAAAGGGAAACATCATTACAGACTCGGATATCATGCGTACGGGCCCTAGACTCAGGCTACTTGGACTGGTACCCTCCTGGAAGTAGCCTACCGCGACTGGGCCTAAAAAAAAGAACTATCTTTTTGTCTTCTTCTGCTCGGCAGCTGGTTCCCGACACATCTACTGCTACTTGAGTGGTATGGGGCCTACCTGCTACTCAAGTACCTACACTACTTGAGCGAGCCCTAAGCTACCCCATCGGCCACTTGACTGTTTTACCCCGCTGCAACCCCAAAGTCACGTCCACAGGTAAATACCGGCCCCACGGGCGTCCCAAACTAACAAGTGCCCTGGCAGGCCACACACACACTCAGGTCGACAAGCACTCTGACACGCACACAGACCAGCAAACACACACACACACACACACACACACACACACACACACACACACACACACACAGACTTAGAAAACTCTGCAAAAAGCGGGAATCTCAGCAAGCCATTCACTCCAGTGGCAAAACTCAGAAATCAGCTGTGTTGTCCATCCTTGGTTGGCAGGTCCTTAACAATTTAATAACAAAAGAACTTAAAATGATAATCTGGAGCAGTTCCAAACTCTGTGGACGATAAAAAAATTTGGACATAACGATAATAAGCCGTGCTCGGTTGGTACACCGGTGAACAGTTAAAACTTGAAACACAGACCTGAGTTCTAAGTCCAATGGGAACACAATCAACAGATGAGTAATAAGTACTAATAACTCTATATTAACCTGGGGCTGGTCAGTTTAAGGTTGTCAAATTGTCACCCTTTATTAAAAAAAAGAAAGAAGGGAAAAAAAAGTTAAATAAACGAGTTTGATAGAAAATTCAAAATTCTAAATTGAAAAAAAAAAATCGGAGCCAAATTACTTTTCTGATAGAAAGTTGGGAACAGAAGATGGGTTTGACTGAACTTAACTTGAACTTTGACATCTAGCGTTCTTGTTTCGTTTGTTTAAGGTTGTCAATTTGTCACCCTTTATTAAAAAAAAAAAAAAAAAAAAAAGTGTTAAAGAAACCAGTTTGATAGAAAATTCTAAATTGAAAAAAAAATCGGAGCCGAATTACTTGTCTGGTAGAAAGTTGGGAACAGAAGATGTGTTTGACATCCAGCCTCCTTGTTTCGTTTGTTAATGTGTTCGTCCACGCAGGTTGGCTCTGCAGAGCATCCACAGTGCTGTGAGGCCTCCATATGTGTCAGGAAATAGTAATTCAAAAATTCGCAATCGAAGATTTGTTTGATAGAGAGAATTTGGGGACAGCCGGAAGATGTGATTGACAGGGTGGCTTCCTTGTTTCGTTTGTTGCTGTGTTCGGCTATGCAGGTTGGCTCTGCAGATCACCACATTCATTATTACGATCTGCGGAACACATCCGCTGCTCTTCACGTCTTCAGTGGCTATAAGAAAGCAGTTTCGTATGTGAAGTTCATCTCCTCAACAGAACTTGCATCAGCTTCGACAGATAGCACACTCCGGCTGTGGGATGTCAAAGAGAGTCGCCTGGTGAGTCCACGTAAGACGGCAGTGTGCTGCACTGCTCCTGCACTTTTGCTGCGGCTCAGGTGTCTTCTTAAGTTATACTGATTTGAACCGCAAATACACCTGAGCCTGGCGGACTCGCACTGCGCACCAATCTTCGGGGGCGCTCCTTTTTTTCTTGTCTGCCTGGTGGCGCCAGCCATCGCGGTCCAAAAGCAACAAGTCTCCGGAAATTTTGGAGATAACCATTCGTTTTTTAGGTTGCCTGGGGCCGTGTACTGGTGGCTTTTTTTTTTTTTTTAACACGCCCCGTCAGTGTTAGTGGTGCTGATAAGAGCAGACACGGCTAACACCTGGGGGGGAGCTCCATCTATTGGTGGGAAGCGACACCTGCTGGAAAACGGGTCCAGCATCCCTTACATGAGCAGAATTCGAACCATATCAGAAAAACAGAGATGTGGTATGATCCTGCCAGCATTGATTACCCTGGGGTCCAGGGGATTGACTGAGCAGGATGTTTGTGGGGGTGGGGGGGGGGGGGGGGGGGGGACCTCTTCACCCTGAACCTGGCGCCGGATACCTGCTGCTACACCCTGGTTCCTCCCACCCCCTACCTTTGAGATATACCTTCTATTGATGCTGCTGGCCCACTCCCATCCCATTGCATGTCTACCACGTGCTGGAAACCGGGTCCAGCGTCCCTCTTAAGCAAAACATGAGATGAGTTGCGGAAGAACACAGGTGCTGGAAACCGGGTCCAGCGTCCCTCTTAAGCAAAACATGAGATGAGTTGCGGAAGAACACAGGTGCTGGAAACCGGGTCCAGCGTCCCATCCCTTTCTTTTTTTTTTGACAAACAACCCCCGCAGTGCTAGCGGCGCTGGTGGAAGCAGACACCACTAGCACCCAACAGTGATTCAAGTCTCTGTGCCCTGAGAGCCAGGGGATTGATTGCGCAGATCCTGTGAAATACTCAGTAAAGTGGCCTTGTGTGAGCATGCAGATGCGCCAAATCCCTTTCTGTATCTCTTCACCCTTGTGAAGGGTGTCAGATAGACCGTTACGGACTGATACTAGGGACTGTCACTAAACAGGGGGGCCAGTGAATGGCGTCAGATAGACCGTTCCTGACTGATACTAGGGCCTGTCACTAAATTCTTCCATGCTTTTTGGCAGTTGATGTCTGGGGTCATGAACAGTAGACAAAAGAGGTCCCAAGTGGAATGATAGTCTAGGGCACCAGAACCTTCTACAAAAGTGTTTCGAGTCTACCTTTTTTTTTTTCCCCCTTTTTTTTGCCCGAAGAAAGCTTCTTCGATCTTCATGGGGAGCATCATGTGCTGGGAAGCGGGCCCAGAGTCCCTTTTGAACATATACAGAACTGAAGAAGACGACCGGGGCCGCCATTACCCGGCTTAGGCTTGAGAAAAACTGAGGGCCCATATCGGCCATTGCTCTCGGGAAGTGTTTTGACTTACCATTGTTTTCTGCACTTTTGCTGTTATGTTTAAACTTTAAACCACCAGTGCATGCCAGCCAGCCATCAGCCATGGGCCCCTTTCGGAGGCCGCGGGCCATCAATTTATTTTATCGACGGCATGTGAGCCTCCAAAATTTTTGGAGAGGCTCGATCAGACGCTCAGCGGCTGGGGGCATGTACTGGTGCTTTAAGTGTGCCCCTGATGGGTGGTCAGTTACTGGCTTGAGTACTTCTCCATGGTTTGGCAGTTTGATGTCTGAGGAGAAGAACAGTAGACAAAGAAGTTCCCGTTCATTGTAATGATAGCATAGGGCACTAGACCCTTCTACGTAGGGGAGTGTTTCCACTTTCCCATCACACATCAGATGGTGAGTGCCGAGCGGTGCAGGGTGCCATAGCACAGCAGAATGAGGTAGTGATTCACAGCAAGATGAGGTGCTGATTCTCTGTGGTGGACCCCTCTCTTCTGGTTCTGGGTCATGTTAAAGGACCCTACCCCTCGCATCTGAATAGCAGATCCTATTTGTGAATCTGTCCTTGCAAATTGTGTAAGCACCAGTACGTGGGCACGTGGGCCGCGGGCCTGACACCTAAAATTCTTGGAAGTGAAACGAAAACGCGACCGCCGATCGAATTTATCAACGGCGGGCCCAGCGTTTGATGTTTCGGACTTGAAGGCTGGGGCCGTGTATTTTCATATGTCAAAGGCTGGTAAGGTTTTGCGCATTGTACATTGAATTGAAAAACCACATGCTCCACCGCTTGTGCAGGCCCTCGTCAATTAATTCCTCCGAGTTTCAGCCTTGTGACCGTACTCCCCAGGCGGAGTGTTTTTCTGTTTCCAAAAAGATTTGTCCGTCAGTATATGAATGTAATTATTTATGATTTTATTGATTCCTGAACATTCTTCTTTCTACATTGAGTACAATCATTTATTGTTATTTTCTTTGTATTATGGAAGTAAACAGTTTTTTATTCTATTTGAATCATTTTCTTTAGAGATGAATTTTTCATTCGAAAATGAAAAACAAAGAGATTCTGAATCTTTATTCGATATAATATATACTATTAAATGCTCGGCTACCAGAGTGGCCCGGGGGCAGTTGCCCGGCCGGGCCAAAAAGAAATAAAATAAAAAAGAAATAAAAAAATTGAACTTTATTTTTTATTTTAAATTTGGTAAAGAATTTCGATGTGATCCTGAGGCAAAAGGTGTTCAGTTTATTTTTCTGCATAACATACCTTTTTTTCGGTTTTTTTTTTTTTTTTTTTTTGCTAGGACCTTCCCTGGGCCTTACACGGCCGGGCCGTCCGGGAAAATAGGGTGACGCGGGTGGCCCGGCTGGTAGCCTCGAATAAATGTATATTATCGACTATTAGATTATTTAATATTTATATCATATCATACTTATCAGATGATTAAAATTTAATTGATAGATTCTTCTTATTTATATTTAATATTTATTGTGTTTCTCGTATTTATAATTTCTAGGTATCACTCATCATCCAGATTCATCCTAGGATACAAAATAGTGGAATATTCATATAGTTCAAATAATGATTGATATTCCATTGATTTGATTATTTGATTCTTGTTTCTAAATGCTCAAAATACAAAATGAAAACCGGCCTACATGTTTTTTAGGGATTTTGGGTTCATTAGGGTTAGGGTTGGTAGTGCGACCTAGGGATTAGTAAAAAGTTAAAAACCTTAATTAGGAATTTCTGTTGTCGCGATTTTCTACGCAACTTGCAGTGCTAGATGAAACCCCAAGTAAGATTTTCGTTGCATTTAGTAGTGTTTTCTCTTTTGGAAGACAGTGGTTTTCAACAGGGGAGGGGCTCCACACTACGAAGCAGGATTGGAGACCTTGGGACCCCTGAATCTGCAGTTCTTTGACATTGTATTTTTGCCTTGGGCACTGGGATTAAAAAAAAAAAATTAAAGAAAATCCTTTCTTTTATCTTATAGAAATTATTAATAGAATCAAATGTATATTTCTATTCTCTTTTTAATCTATGAATTAAATCTTTTTTATTTAATAATATTTTTAATATCAATGAAAATTACATTCTTAATTTCTTATAGATGCTAATAAATTCAAGAAGCTTAAAAAAACTTATTTCGAGTATTAATAGGATAGGCAGTTCGATCGCCGCCTTCGTGTTACATGTCTTTCTCATGTAATCCTCTTTGTTGTTTTCATGTGTGTGCAGTTCGATCGCCGCCTTCGTGCTACCAGTCGGGTCGTTCTCACGGAACCCTCTTTGTTGTTTTCATGTGTGTTCCACTGTGCTGTTTGCAGATTCGGACATTCCGTGGACATAAGAATGAGAAAAACTTTGTAGGCCTGACTGTGAACAATGAGTACCTTGCATGTGGCAGTGAGACGAATGAAGTCAACGTGTACTACAAGGTCCGTATCTGTTCATCCATTGCAATCACTCTGGTTGATGCTCTGTGGAAAGGAGGAGCTGACGAAAGGAGAGTCGGAGTGCATGTCGTCTTGTTTATATTGTCGTGCTTTCAAAAAAAAGTGTCGGAGTCTCCTTTCGTCAGGTGATCAAAAATCAAAATGCTACTGGCACACCCTTGCAACAGCTGTCTGCCTCAGCAACTGGAATGATGATTTCTGGTAATTTCATTGCATGTTTGTTATCGATTTTTTTTTTTTTTTTTTTTTTTTTTTTCAAACACGTGTCGTCTTTCGCAGGGTCTACGACGACTCTACGCTAATCTCCTCTGTATCGTTCCAGTTTTGACAGATGTCCCGCAGGACAGGTGTCGGCATTCTGCCGATGTGTCCTTGCAGAAGACAAAATTTGGACTGCTACGTTTCCATAATGTTTATGCTAGCAGTGCCTTTTATTTTTATTTTTTCCTTCCTCCTCCAGCTAGTCACTGGAAGCGTATGTGACTTGCAAAATGAAAAAGTCAAGACTTCTAGAATGCCCCTGCGCTCTTTTCTGAGAAACAGAGTTGCCTTTCCTCCTGTCTTCGTCAGCCTGTGGAATCATCTGTTTTAGTATTTTTACTATTTTTCATAAAGTTTCTTTTTTTTGGGGGGGGGAACTACGCAGGAGTCACAAAAAGAGTTTGGAAGTACACTTTGGGGCCTTCGGGCAAAAAACAGTTTCAAAAGCCGAGCCGAAGGGCTGCCGCCTGGCGGCGCCTATGGTCGCCTCTTAATTGCACTTCAGGCAATGTCTACAAGCCAGCTTTCCGGTCAGGTTGGGGTTACGTGGGGGTGTGTTATGCTCGGGTGAATGCCTGAAGTGTAATTTCGTAATTTCAAACTGTTTTTATTTCTGTACTGAAGTTGGCCCCTTTTTTTTTTTTTTTTGTCTGCAACTCACATCAACTATCGCATTTCGCGCCGCTCTTCATCGTTGTGAGGGCCAAGATATTCGTTTGGGGCGAGTTTTTTCCCCCGGCAAGTTATAGTTTTGTGTGTGCACACTGCACATGTTAATAGTTTTGTGTGTGCATATTCTGTGAGTACACGGTCGTACGCGCGATGTAATGCAATGAGGTCGGATCATGCGTGAAATTTTGATGGGCTTAGGAACTGGTGCTATTCCTCCAGCTTCAGCGTTGGGCCCTGTGGGCCCTTTTGGGAGTTTGCCATTTATGTAATCCACCAATTATTGCTAATCCCATCATCAAACAGGTTAAGAGTGAGGTCAGACCATGCATGAAATGTTGATCCTGCTGTCTTCACTGAATCTAGTTGGATGCTTGGTCATTGTAGCTGCATTTGGTGCCACATTCAGTCTACATACGGTGATAATGACTGGGGGGCATGCTAGTTGGGTGAAGACGGTAGCAGTTTTGGATCCCTCAGGACAGAGGGTGTTGACGACCATTGCAAATCTGTTAGGGTTCTTCTTCTCTCTATGGTTCTGCCACTTGTGTCCTCTCCTCCTTTTTTGGCTTCTTTTTTTTTTGGGGGGGGGGGGCAGAGGGGCTCATATTCCAGTGAAGGTGGAAACCTGATAAAGTCTTGCTGGCTGTATTTCTTGTCTTGGTTTGGTGGTTTGACGTAAACAGGCGATGTCAAAACCTGTTGCAGTGCACAAGTTTGGGTCCCCTGATCCTGCCACAGGCGAGGAGAGTGATGATGATGGAGCACATTTCATTAGCTCAGTCTGCTGGAAGAGCGATAGCCCCACGATGTTGGCTGCAAATAGCCAAGGTACGATCAAGGTGTTGTTGATGGCGTAGTGAAAATGTACAGTTGAGCTGGGAGGAGGAGGAAGGAAACCATTATGATTGTAAATTCCAATGGCTCATGATGGCCTGACTATGTGTTTTTTTTTCTCCCCACCTCAAGAGTTCTTTGGTCCTCGATCAGTTAGACCACCACCAGTACCCTTTCCCCGCCGGAAAAACAAAGCCGCGGTGCAGTTTCGTTAACGGCAGGCCGTATCTTTCATGAAGTACCGTCGGGGCGCAGTTTCGCTGGGAATCCATCCAGCCAAAACGGGCGTCGCATGTGACCTTTTTTGCCTGGATGGATATCCAGCGGAACGGGCCCATGGTACTTCCCGAAAGAAAGTCGCAGCCATCAACAACGCGCCCCGACTCTGAAAAAATAGCGGGGAAAGGTACTGGTTGTTTAAGACTATGCAGCGAGGAAGGGGAATATATGATACGATACGATACGATACGGAGGGGAGGAAATGCAGGTAGAAAGAAGATATGTATGGGACGCGACGGGCCAAGAGCAAGAGCCAGTGTTTGCTATTCGATATTGCTGAGGTTGTATCGGCATTCCCTTACCTCTGAGCTGTGGATGCAATAGAAGAGGAGTGGCAGTTATATTCTTGGGGATGAGGCTTTGCAGTAGAAAAGCATAGTCGGATAGGCTTTTTGAATTTGTTGGCTATCTTAGGAAATGTATCTCAGCTCAGTGCTCTTCAGTTTTTGTAAGGTCATTGGGGAAATTTGTCTCTTTATCTTTGCTTGGTTGCATGGGAGAGTTGAGTGGCAGGTAGGTGAGGTGAGGAGGGGAGGAGAAGGAGGTCTGGAAACTCTTAACAGCATGTAGCTTGCGGCCAAGCCCTGTTTTGTTTCAACGATTTTGGTCGAAGAGTGGGTGAACTCATCTCTGTGTGTGTGTGTGTGTGTGTGTGTGTGTGTGTGTGTGTGTGTGKGGGGGGGGGGGGGGGGGGGGGGGGGGGGGCATATGCGCTTAGTGTGTGTGTGTGGGTGGGTGTGTGGACGCGTGGGCGTATTCACTTAGAGTGTGTGTGTGTGTGGACGTGTGGGTGTATGCGCTTAGTGTGTGGACGCGAGGGCGTGTGCGCTTAGAGTGTGTGTGTGTGTGTGTGTGTGTGTGTGTGTGTGTGTGTGTGTCTGGAGGTTGATGGGAGAAGGTAGGGTTGTGGTAGAGGATAGAATTTGTGGAGACAGGATGGGAAAGGAGTTTGGTATGATGGAGGACTCTTGCTGCTCAAGGGTCTCTACGTCCAATGAAGCAAGGATCTTCTTAATTTTTTAATTTTTTTTCCCTCAGTGAATTTAACTCAAATTTATTCAATTGTTCAATTCTACAATTTCAGCAACTTTTCGATAGTCGGGTTGTGTTTATGGACAGCAAGACAGTTTCCAGGAGACGTTTGAGGATCGCACCAATGCTATTTGTTTGCAGGAGACGTTTGAGGATCGCACCAATGGTATTTGCTCTTGTGTAGGGGGAAATGCACAACAGACGACAAGCACACTAACCAACCGCAACAACAGCCCTGATTCTTGGGGATCAACTGCCAGCTCAAGCAACTAAACGACCACTTTTGCCATCTCAACGCAAGGGCGATCCAAGCACAGGTGCTTGTCTTGAGTCAAGACAGCGCCAGTCAGAGAGAGGGACAAGGGTCTTTTTCAGATGTCATCTCGGTCACTGACAGATTCACGATGCGATGACGGATGGCGGGACTTACGGCAAGGCAAGGCAGTGCATGGAAGCATGGAGATTGCACGCATAAAGGTCTACTAGTTCGGTAGGCCAACACTCCCACCCTCTGTCTTTTGTTTCCTAGTGGACCGACTCTTCTGCAGCTGCTATGTTGTTTCGCTCGCGTTTGTTCTTCATCGTCTGAGGATGGGTGAGCTTACAGCTGTGATATACCCGTAGCACGTAAGGTTGATCGATTGGAGCGGCTTCATTCTTTCTTCCCTCCTTTTTTTTTTAAGGGGGTAATCCTTATCTTCGTTGTGTTCGTCTGATTCCATCAGGATTCAAACTCGTGTTCTGCTTACTAACGGTTGCGCGTCGGAGGCATTCAGCCACACATGGGGAGCAGGGTGGGGGTCACAATCACACAAACGGTAGGGATCTGAAGTCGTCTGATTCCGTCGGGATCTGGACTCGTCTGATTCCGTTGGGATCTGGACTCGTCTGATTCCGTCGGGATCTGGACTCGTGCCCTTACATGTCTGTAGCATTCAGCCACACAGGAAAGCGCGTACAGTCGCCGCGAAACCAGTTGGAGAAGGTGAGGAGTGTTGCTGCTGTTGCGTATCTGCTATTTGGTGCTTGCTGCTGGAAATGGCTTTCGCATTTTCATTGTTCGCAGACACCATCATCATCTGTATCTGTAAGTTTCCGTGCATTTGGTCAGACTCCCTTGGAATGAGACTTCTTCTGTTAAACTTCTTCTGTACATGGCTCTCTTCTTCTCTCTACCTTTTCCTCCCTCCTTCCCGCTCTTCCCATGCGCCCTACCAAACCACCGCCCTTCCTCTCTCGAGTTCCGCTGCATGTGACAGTACCTGCCAGTCTACAGACAGTTGTGTTGTCGGGATCAGGACGTGGCATTGCCCCCACACACACCTAGTCAAATGTGCCCCTACGCTTGGATGATATGTGCACCCAGTGTTGGGGATGATGGATGACAAGCTCCACTCTTGAATAAAATCGTGGCTGGTACCGTAGAACGATAGCAAGGTGCAGCAGCTGGGATGCCAGCCTTCACCCCTCTGAGCCCTCTCTGACTACCATCTTCACCCAAATAGAATGCCCCCGGTCTTTATGGCTGCTGCATCTACGGTCTTTATGGCTGCTGCATCTACGGTCTTTATGGCTGCTGCATCTACGGTCTTTATGGCCGCTGCATCTAGAGTGAGAGTTGGGCCAAAAATTTGGCAGGGAGATGTATCTCAAGTTAACGAGTCTACTTATGTAATGGGGGTGGTTAAGAGATTAGTATTTACTCGTCTCAGCATGTTAATGGCTATAAGCCACTTGGGATGAATAGTTTACGTACGTGTATGGGCTTGGATGCTCTTGTTTGGCTATCTTATATGAGGCGAATGACCGGCCGTTCTATTCGGGTGAGGACGGTTGTCTGAGAGGGTTTTAGAGATCTTTCTTGACACTAAGAATCAATCCCTCAGACACATTCTGCTGCATCTGGACCAGTAGTTGTGCCCAATACTGTTACAATGACCAGGCATAAGCCGGCCCAACATTCCAGTTGTCCTGTGGGGGGTCTGTCTACCACGCGATTCCGACCATCTTTGTGAACCAGTTGCTTGGAGTTGAGCCCGCTGCCGTTCCAAGTGCAGCGGGAATGCAATGGGTGACGGTTCTTCCATTTCAGCTGCTGTTCGCGGGTTGGTTCTCTGATGCACGTTGCCTCTCCAGTCATACGGCCAAGGAGCATCTCTGATCAAGCGCGCTGGCCTTAGACTAATCTCGGGCCGGGAGTCACGCCTGGTCTTTCATGCCTTAGTTCTGGCGAAGAAAGTTCCCAGCTGCAGGGTGGGAAGAGAGTGCAGTCCTGTCCGTTTTGTGTCGAGGGGCTTGCCCACAACATGGCATTCGTTTTTCGTGGTATGCAGTGAATTGTGTTTGGTGCTGACGAATTTCTTAGGGTTGAGTGCTTTTGAAGTGGGCACTGCGTATCCATGTCCCATGTGGCCCTGTGAAGAGAGCAGACGATCCAGATGGTGGTGGCCTCTAAAGTCCTCCCATTTGCTTCCTGTGACTTGAGCACTCTCCGGTAGCCTTGGGTCTGTTCAATGCTCTGTCTTTATCTCTTATTTGGCAAGTCCGTAATCTTGCTAATAGCCATGCTGCCCATGCAGTGCTCCTTAAACTTGTTGCAGACAGACAGACAGACAGACAGACAGACAGACAGACAGAGAGAGAGATCTGTAGGGAACTTCATTGTGTCAGAGGCTAAGTCCTTTCGGAGTCTTCACTGAGCCTGAATGCCTCTGGAGATTGCATATTCAACTTGGTTGTACAGACACACACACAGAGAGAGAGAGAGAGAGAGAGAGAGAGAGAGAGAGAGAGAGAGAGAGAGATGTTGGCAACTGTTCTGTGTGAGAGGCTGAGTGTTTTTTTGTTTCGGAGACTTCACCGAGCCTGAGTGCCTGTGAGTTGGGTGTGGAGCTTCCCTAACCTTCTCGGCCGTTACGGTGTCAGGAAGATGTTCTATGGATTCACTTTCACTGGTTTGTCGACTGCAAGTTTTGGTTCTTTACCGGTGCCCGAAGAAAAGGATTGGAGATTGGCGGATCGACAGTTAATTCTAGTTGTTGGAGCGTAGTACAAATGTGGGGGAATTTTAACAATGCGGGGCCTTCCTTTCATCGATGCTCTGCGATGTGACGATGACATAGTGGATTGGAAGGGGAGCCTGTGTACAGTTTGTAACATGGAAAGCAATTCACTTTTTTCTTTCTTAATGATGGTTTTTCAAGCCTAGTTCGTCAGATGGACCAGATTGTGGTGTTCTGCCAGGCAGGTATAACCTGTACAGCCCTGACTGGTGGTGGCGATGATGATGACGAAATGATTGCTTGGGTTTGATGAAGTGGAGAGGAGGATTCTTTTTTTTTTCAAAAATAAGGAAAAGAAAGGAGGAAGAAGTAGAAGTAGAAGAAGAAGAAGAAGAAGAAGAGGAGGAGGAGGACCGTGTTTCTTTCCTTCCGAGGTGTGAAAAGCATGTTCCCCAATCCACCCCGTGTTTCTTTCCTTCCGAGGGGGGGCCAAAAGCTTAGTCATGGTCCCCAATCCGCGCCTGGTTTCTGTCCTTCCGAGGAGTCAAAAGCTTAGTCACGGTCACCAATAAGCCCCAATCCACCAGGGAGGGGGTGGGGTGCAGATTGGGCGGTTTGGCCAGGCGAATTTTCTATGGTTGCTTGTGGGGCGATGTGGCTGTCCAAATGGGAGGCTGTTTTAAGTTTTAACTCCAACACCGCACCTGTGAGTCGGAGGCGTGGTTGCCTGCCGCCACCTCAAGGGGGGGAGGTCGGCGGTAAGGGGTTTGCAAGGGTACGATAGTGTGGTGGTGGTTATGGGGATCATCTTGGGTCCTAGTTTTTGCTATGTCATTTCGTTTTTATTTGTCGACCCGACGGTCTTGACAAACCACTGTACCCCTTGGAGGAGTCTAGCTCTGCAGTGGATTGTATTGCAATACAGGTCCACATTCATTCCTCGCATTCCTAGTGCGAAGCGAATGAATTAGTACGAAGAGTTTTCCGCAACAATGCATGGGGGTTTCCACAGATCCATCCATCCATCAAGAAGAACTCACGCAAACTCCTTAATGAACTTGTACAGGAACCAACAGGCCGCCTAGCTCAGCTGGTACTCACACATGAACTGTCGAAATACAGTACCCACCTGGGTCGATACCCGACCTCTATAACAACCTGGCCTTTATATATTTCAATTTTCAAAAAATAAAAAATAAAAAAAATCCAAATACAAACCTGTCTTTGAACCGGAATGGAACTAGAAAGAAAGGAAAAAAGAAAAAGGACTTGTAGTCTTGTACAGGACTTTCTCTGCTCATTCAGCCTCATTGCGATCTACACCTGTCCACAGTAGCTTGTCTCTGACTCTCTAGTGGTGGATATACTGCACCTTTGAAATTTCATTCCTTGAATGGGCTATCATGTGTGTGTGTGTGTTTGTGGGGGGGAGGAGCGGCGGGGGACGCAGTGTTTTTGTGAAGGGTGAGCCTCAGGGAAAGCAAAAGTAAAAAGAAGGGTGAGCCTCAGGAAATGAAGGGCAAGAGGAGGGTAAGGGCACAGAGAAGCTTTAGTATGACCCCTGTGCGAGGATGACACGCGTAAAAAAAAATAAAAAAAAATGGATATCTTTTGCTACAAAAAGAAAAGAAAAATACGTATGAAAAGGGAAAAAGAAGAAGGGGGAAGCGGAAGAGTCCTTTAAATGTGCAATGGAGGGTGCGATCGGTTTGACGGGTGCGATCCACTGATCCAGCAACACATGTGCGCAGTCGTCAAATGCTCGAGGGCCACCTGCTGACGGGATCAGTCTGAGAGGACTTGTCGAACGAGAACTTCAGTGATAATGAGCCTAATGTGGAATCCGGTCCTCAAACGATTGAGAGCACGGTTCGGCTGAGGGGATTTTCCCTACTCACTTGACCAAATACAGCTCAGTGAGAAAGTGCGGATTCCGAAGTGGAAATGTCAAGAGGGCATATATACTAACTAGTGACACAGTCGGACATGTTTTTACTACGCTCGGGACGTTATTGCAGTCAAAAAAAAAAAAAAAAAAAAAAAAAAGTGCGGAAGTGGAATCGGAATGGAGAATCATCAGGATGCTGTAGGTTCGTGCACAAGTGGAAAAACACAAGAGGCAAAGAACTTCAGTAAGTGGCCCATCGGACGGGAGAAATATCAAGATCCTAGGTTCGTGTTGAAGTGAGAAACTTGCTGAAGTGGAAAAACACACCAGCGGGAGCAAGTAACAGTAACTCAATTGACATTAACATAATAAGGATAAGGATATTCTTTTCTATTTAAAAAGATTCCCCAAATACCTAACACCAAAGTAATGTGCACAGTCCTCTGATATGATTGAGCACTGCATGCCTCTGTGAATTGACCGAGAAACTTCAGCGAAGAAACCCACCATGGCCTAGCTCAGTTTTTCAACTTTTTTCATACACCCATGGAGTGGCAGGGACACTATCGAAATTGAAACGAAGACCTGCGTATGAGGGGCCTAACGGTTACACAGCCATCATTACTCCCCTCCTCTCTCTCTCTCTCTCTCTCTCTCTCTCTCTCTCTCTCTCTCTCTCTCTCTCTCTCTCTCTCTCTCTCTCTCTCTCTCTCTCT